CCCCTGTCTACCTTCCGTACGCGGCCCGTAATTCGCTAACTATTTCTCTTTATAACTTGAAAACTAAGCTCCGCACAAATTTTTGCCAAAGGAAAAATCGTCTCAGAATGTGGTCAGAAATACGTATGTTTAAGGACAATATACTTATTCTGAATCACCCTTGTATATACATATTTATGTATATTATATTTATTTATTATATTATATATACATTTATATTGTATACTTTATATTTATTAATTACGTAGTTTCATACAATTACATAGTTTTTTATTGTATAATAATGCTAACAATTTTTGTGCTATGAATAATGTCTGTGTTAAAAATAGTTTAGAAATTTTTAATTTGTTTTTTATTAAGAAATAGCATTATATGATTAGCGAATTACGCAACACACATATACGTATATACTGTAGTAAATACACACGCATGCGCGCACGCACTTTTGTTATCACAGAAGTATGCGTGTATATGAGTGAGCGTGGATAATGTGATTTTAATTTTGTTATGTTTAGTTTAGGCAAATGGCAATTATTTTGCATGATGCTTTCTTGGACTATAAATCATTGCGGACTGAAGTAAGATTATTTTTATGTAATATTTCAAATACAAAATTTTTGAATACTCTTTTATACAAACTTTTATATATATTATTTAGGTGGTATACTTTTCACTTCAGCTGGTCCATGAGAATTTAACGTTTACTGCTTTAGGACTATATGAAATCAATATTTCTTTTATTTGCTCTGTAAGCAAAAATTCATTTCTACTCATTTTCGCAATAACACAGATTTTCTAAATAAAGTTTTTTTTACAGATTGCTGGAGCAGTAGTAACATATCTTGTTATGGTTATTCAACTAGATACAAAATTTGCTATTGCAAATTATAATACTACTACCACATAGAATTATATCAAAAATAATTCTACAATTGTCATTACATAATTTTGTTGTGCCGGGATAGGGCACAAGAGGATCCGACTCCGCGGGAAACGGGACTTCACAGGGTTTTATGACAAACACCGACACTTGTTCCTTTTCGGTTAAAATATATACTTTATGTTATCACTAATAGTCACAGACTTTATTTTTATTTATTTAACACCTTTACCTTGTAACTATCGACTGTTAGGTTAACTTGACGAAACGGATGTAAAGATCGACCGTTATTTTAACGTAACAAGACGGAAGCAAAGACTGACCGCCCGCGGCTTATCGTTGCGCGTACTTATGCTCTACGCGCTGCCGCGTCAGCGCTAAGCATTTCGGGTATTGCCATTGCGCGACCGTTCTTGGTATAGTCGGGGAGCTCGCGTGAAAAAATCGTGACTATTTTATAAAAGTTAGTTTTTTGATATTTGGTTACAAGTAGGATAAAAATCAAAATTCTGCAGTCAGCAGTTAGATGTTAGGACACCTGATGCCGGCACTCTTTTAAAGACGTCGAAAAAACTAGTGTCACGTAAGTATTTTATAAAAGCTGAAAATGATTGTACGAATAATTTATGCAACAAAATGTAGAAATATAGTGGTCAGACAGCCCATCGTCGGAACATGTCGCGTCAGCATTACCTTAAAGATGCAACAAAAATTAATTGAACGTAACTATTTTATTATAAAATCTGAAATTTGGTAAAGTACTAAATTATTTAATATTATATACAAAAAAAACAGTAGTAATATGTATAGGCCGGTTCTAACCTAGGAGCTCCGAGGAGGGTGAGGGGCGGGGGAGAATTTGCGCGGGGGAATGACGTCACAGGGAGTAACCGCCGAGATGTTTATATAAACATGGGCCATGTATGTTTAAACATGGGCTATGTATGTTTACATAAACAATTAGCGGCGGGCTCTTTGAGAATATGAGCGGGGGGGGGGTGACATCACGCATTGCCAAGATGATTTATGGTGTGAGGGGATTTTTCGCGAGGGGGGTTGCGCGCCCCCCGCCGTCCTCCTACGCCCATAGCGCGCTCACACATAGCACGTTCTCTCTCCCACGCATAGCGCGCCCGTAGCGCGCTCTCGCTCCCGCGCGTTCTCTCTCCCACACATAGCGCGCCCTTAGCGCGCTCTCGCTCCCGCGCGTTCTCGCTTACGCGTACGCACGCGCCCCTAACGCGCTCCCGCGCACGCGGTCTCCCTCGCGCCGCCATGGAAAGGATTAAATGTACAAATATATATGTTTACAAGTATTAAATGTATTATAAAAAACGTAATTTAACGTTGTTATAAAAAAGTGATTAAAATAAAGGGGTGCAGTGTGAAAATTAATTCTGTTGATTTGTACGTGTGTCCTGCGCCGTCGACGCCTCTGCCAAATTGATACCTCTGATGTTCCATCCACACGCCTTCTTTCTCTTATAGTATCGGACCTCCCTCCTGTATACCATTTCATAAAACTATTTATTTTTACGAGATGATAGACAGAAAGGAAGTCCGATACCATGAGAGAGAAAAGGCGTGTGGATGGAATATCAGAGGTATCAATTTGGCTGGTGCCTCGAACGACAGTGTCGCAGACAGCAAGTTCGATCATAGGTTCACATATTAACGACGTTGTCTGGATTTGTGTGTGTGTGTGTGTGTGTGTGTGTGCGTGCGTGTATGTGTGTGTGTGGGGGGGGGCTGGTTGAAAAGCAGGCTGAATGACTGGTTGAATGGCAGTATGCGTCGCTGTTGTGAACAAACTGTAACAGAAAAATAAAAAATTATGTTATAAAAACTGCCTGTAAAAACCTATGACACCTGATTATAACATAAGTTTTTATATTTCCGTTACCGAGAGGCTGGGCATTCTGTAACAGAAAAAAATAAAAATGAATTTATACAATGCAAATAAAATTATACACTGAACATAACGTAAGAAAGTATAATAATTATATAATATATTTACCTTTCGCTGCGTTCCAACTCTTCACATAGCGGGAGAGACGCCCCTGCCCCCTTGAATGGGGCCATCTGCGTCCTCAAAGTCTTCGAAGAAAAACGGAGCGATGCCTATGGGACGACTCGCGCCACCGCTCGCGACGCCATCGCTCGCCGTTGCGCCGTCGCCGTCCGTTCCCTCTACATCCCCGCGTTCGTCCATGAACTCTCGGTATATGGCGACAATCTCGATGCCATCTTTATTCTTTTCCGCGTCCTGGAAGATTTCTGGTGTCGGCGCCCTCCCGCCGCGCCGATCCTCCCACCGCGGTGAAAATAAGGGTTTCTTTCGCCGCGGCAAAAATAAGGGTTTCTTCCGCCGCGGCGAAAATTGGGACTTCTCCCGAACCAGATAGGGTGTGGTCCTCCGCGGCGGTGAAAATCGCGGTTGCACCCGAACCAGGGGAGTTGCGGTCCTCGGCCGCGGCGAAAATCAGGGCACCTCCCGCCGCGGCGGTTGTACGAGAATCTTCTGGCACAGATTCTCGCACCGTGACGAAAGTCGGGATAGCGGGGGACGAACGTGTAACCGGGGAGTTGCGCTCCGATGTTCTGAAATAAAAAACAAAATAAACATAAAACTATACAATAAACAGAAAAAAGACAAAAAGTCTCTCTAGACTTATCGTCGAAACGCAGCACCACTGGAGATTCGCGGATGTCGATAGCGTCGTTGTCATCGGTGTTTGCGGCGACGATGACTCGCGTCGAAAATCCATGATTCGAGGTACACCGCGGAAAGATAGTGTACACTTAATTATGGCAAAGACATCGATAATGAAACTTTGCACTAAAACGATTTAAAAAAACCGTTTATACACGTACCGGAGGCACCACTTAACGCGCGAGGCGACGACCGAAAACTGAGAACTTGGGCAGAGCCTCGATGCATAGCTCTTCTAGGATGTTTATACGAAACGCGATACAACAAAATAATATGTTCTCATCGCTAGGAGGAAAAGAGTTCGAAACCCTTAGCGCAACCATAGCGAGACGTTTGACTTTCAAAGGGTCAAGGTTGACCCCATCGAGATGTCACACGGAACCGCATATGTGTGCGCGTGTTGGTTTACTTCCTATATAATAGTATAAGTAGTATTCTTATATACATTGGTATTCTTATTAATGGAAAGGATGGGAAAAAATAATCGTAAAGATGGAGTAAAAGATACGTTATTTATTCGTCATTATTCGATATCAATAATATTCAGAGCGTACATATAGAAAAGATACATATAAAAATTATTCGTTATGAAACGCGTCGCGTACAATAGCGTTCAGAGCGTACGCCACCAATTTGCACTCGACGCTCGAACTCTTGTCGCACATTTTACGCAGAATATTCGCCGCGTCGTATCTATTCGTAATGCAATTCTGGCGTAGAAAAGATACGAATGCATTGTAACGATTGTTAACGATAATTATAGTTTGCCGCAAGTCGATGTATATGTTCTCGATGCAATACTCGAGTTCGAGCGTGAACAACACGGTCGCGGGCTTCATGTAAATAAAAGCGTCGCGCGTTGCCAATTTTGCAACGATGTTGTCATCGCGTATTTTCACGAGATGCACTGTCAGGTCACAGATCGATAACGATGACGATGACGACGATGATGTCGAAGTTGACTGCATGAGTCGCTCGACGTCCGCGCGCCTATCCATCAGCGCTCTCCAAGTTTCGTGAGACAGAACGATGCCGTTGCCACGATTGTCGCCGATCGTCAGATCGATCATGGACAAAGATCCAGCGTTTATTCCAATGTCCAGCCATTTATAGGACGTATGAGTCAATGCCAATCGCCTTCTCAAAATGCGTGGCACGTTCGATGACACGCTCGATGGACTGAAAAAAGAAAAAAGAAAACGGATGAGTTATACGCTGGAGAAATTTCTATACAAAATTTCGTGATAAAAAAATACAAAATGGATACTTACGGTTTCTCACTCGCGGCCTCGATTGGAACGTAGAAATTGGCCATCTTGCGGAGGTTTCTTTTTGCGAGAGCTGATGACCACTATTCTGAGTCGTTCCAACTGTGGAATGATCGCACCCGCGCAAAAATGCTACGTAATATAGAATCAACCCCCTCTCTTTAATTATTTAAATCATTTTGTTAAGAGGGGAAACCCCCTCTCCACTATTTGCATTTTATCAAACGTGACCAACTGTAAACAAAAGAAACGTATCGCG